CGGCACCAGGTAACGGGGGTCCCGGGCCGGGGGCTGCGAGGGGGGAAAGGAGAGGCTGTGTCCGGGCTCCTGCTCTCGGATGCGGTCGCCCAGCATCCCCCCGAGGCTCTTAGTACCTCCTCGTCCCCACCCCACCCGGGGCTATCCCCGTGTTCCCATCGTAGCCCCGAACTGAAACCATGTCCCCTCTGGACTGTCAGCATCATCCCTTCGAGCTGTCCCCAAAGCCCCCCTGGGTTGTCCGTGTCTCCCCCGGGCTGTCCCCACGTCTTCCCGGCCCGTCCACCTCCCGGTGACTCTGCACCCTGCCCAAAGCGGGGCTCTGTGCGGCCGAACCGGGTTGGAGGGTGCCGGGAGCTGCCGGTCCGGCAGTTGCCGGGGTCGCGGGGTCCCTCGAGCTCCCGGTTGCAGTGATGCGGCGTGTTTGTCCTCGTGAGATGAGAGAGCAGATTCCCACGCGAATCTCCCGGGAGAATCCAGAGATTCTGTGGTTGTTTTGTTCCGAAAAAAGCCGCCTCACCCGCGGGGCTGGGGTTCCCCCGGACCAGCAGTTCCGCAGCACCCTCCGGTTCCAGCGGATGGGGACACTCAGACACCTCTGTCTCCCCGTGTCACCCCCACCCCGGCAGCTGCTTCTTTCTCTCTGTGTCACCCCATCTGACCCCGGTGCATCCCCGGAGGAATCTTGCCCCCGGACCCACTCGTGTCCGGCCCCGCAGGCCGATTAGGCGGATTTCCCAGCCGGGATCCTAATCCCGCTGCCCCGTGTCTGCTTATCCCGCCTGCGCCCGGGACCCGGCTTAGCCCCGGGCGCGGGCGGGTGGCGACGAGCGCGGGCCGGCGGGTGAGTGTTTGTCCCCCGATCCCGGGGAAAAAAAAGAGGGGCAAGTCGGGGGTGGTGGTGTCCCAGGCTCGCAGTGGCCGGGAAGAGGCCCCGGAGCTCGGTTCTCCCGGGGCGCGGGGTGGGTTGTGTCGCCGCTGCCACCGGGCTCGTCACTGAGCCGCCTTGGCAGAGCTTTGCTGCCGGGCCCCGGAGCTGCTGGCCCCGCTCCAGAGGTGGGTGAATTCCCAGAACTGGCAGAGACGCGGCTGCTACCCGCGGGATTTGGGTGTCAGAACTCGCGCCTCGAGTCCACTGCACCGGAACAATTCCGCTCCTGGGCTGATGAGAGCCCCACCTACATCCCTCTTACGGAGAAACTGAGGCACGGGCAGGTCTCAACGTTCCCCAGGCTGCGCAGCTCGCCCGGAACTACTCCTGGGGTGCCGCACTGCTCCCTGTGCCCGGCGTGGGCAGTGAATAATGCTCCTGGCCCCTGGACAGAGCTCGTGCCCAATTCTGGTGTTTTTACTTTAGGAAAGAATGTGATTTAGCTCCGGAAAGGAGCTTTGCTGCAGGAATGCGGTCCGGCTCCTGCCGGCCCCGGAGCTCAGCCCTGTGCCCGGCACTGTGCCCGGGGTGTGATAAGCCCCGAAACAGAAGGAAGTGAGAGCCCAGCCGTTGTCCTCAGCTTGGGGCTGCCCCCGCTACTCTCAACCGCAGCTGGAGCCGAGCGGGGCCCGCGATGGCCGTGGGCACCCAGCTGGGGCTGCTGCTCTGGAAGAACTTCACGTACCGCCGGCGGCAGCGGGTGAGTGGGCGATTGGGGTGGGGCTACCCAGAGCCGCTGGTTCCTGGCACAGGGGCAGGCAGAGCCCCGGACACTGATGGGAACCGAGACCCCCACCAACCTTGCGTCTCCCCCAGATCCAGCTGACTATCGAGATCCTGTGGCCCCTCTTCCTCTTCCTTATCTTGATCTCAGTGCGGCGATCCCACCCGCCCTTCAAGCAGCATGAATGTGAGTGTCCCCCGCAGGACCCCCTGAGCCAGCTAAGACCCCTCTGTGTGCCCCTGTGCGGGAGCCCTTCGGGGTGACACCTGGGGGACAAACACGGGAGGTGGTCACAGGGTGGGGGCTCACTGTCATCTCCCTGGTCGGGTGTGTGTGGGATGCCGGGGGTCCTGCACTGCCCCGCTGAACCTGCCTCCCTCTCCCTCAGGCCACTTTCCCAACAAGGCGCTGCCCTCGGCGGGGACCCTGCCCTGGCTGCAGGGCATCATCTGCAACATGAACAACCCCTGCTTCCGGCACCCCACGGCAGGAGAGGCCCCTGGCGTGGTGGGCAACTTCGATGGCTCCATGTGAGCAGCGGGGCTGGGGAGCTGCGGGGCAGAGCGGGGGGGCTGGGCCAGGGACAGGGTCTCATTGCCCACCCCATATCCCGTCATGTCACAGCCTCTCCCGCCTCCTGACCGAAGCCCGGCAGGTCCTGCTCCGCGGCCACGGGCAGCGGCTCCTGAGCAGCTTCTCCCGGCTCCTTCCCGCCCTGCGCCGGCTCCGGGACAGTGGCAATCAGCGGAGGGGTGAGCACCGGGGGCGGGGGGTGCCGGGGCAGCGAGACCCCTTGTCTGACCCCTGCTCCCCCAGCTCTGCCGGTGAGGGAATACTTGAGAGAGGACGAGACCTTCTCCCGGTTCCTGCGGACCAACATATCTCTGTCCCCGGCGCTGGTGGATGAGCTGATGGGGGCTCGGCTCAGCCCCCGCATCGTGAGTATCGGCGCGGCACCCGCAGCCAGCGCCCACTCCCGCTGACCGCACCATGACCACCCTCTCCTTCCAGTTCTCCCTGGCGAGCATTCGCCTCCCGCTAAAGGCCCTGGTCTGCAACGCCTCGGTCCTGGGGGGCTTCCTGGTGGGCGGTGACTCCGACTCCACCCAGAGCCTGCAGCAAGAACTCTGCGCACTGCCCAGCTCCCAGCTCCGTGCCATGGAGGGCTCCTTCCTCTCCCAAATGGATTTCCCACGACTCCTGACGGTGAGCCCCCAGCGCGGTCGGCTGCTGGAAGGTACCGAGGCACTCAGGCCTCCCCAGCAGGGCTGTGACCCTCTTCTCATGCCCCCTTGTAGGAGCAGCTGAGCTCAGACTTGGGAGGAATCACTGGCACCGTGGAAGCTTTGGGCAGCTTCCTGCGGGATGCAGCATCCCTGATGGAGGAGGTACACTCCTCACTCCTCTGCCCCCTACCCACCTCCTCCGGGTCCCTGGGTCCCCTTGACCCCCAATTCCCCTCTCCACTCTCATCCCGCTCTCCCCAGGTCTCCTCCATGACCAGCCTGGCCAAGCTGCGTCAGGAGCTTATGGGGCTGAGGGCCCCCAACACCAGCACGGGTGCCTTCACAGCCCTGTCACGCATTGCCTGTGGACACCCTGAGGGCGGGGGGCTCAGGATCCCCTCCCTCAACTGGTACGAGGACAATGATGTCAAAGCCTTCCTGGACCGTAACAGCTCTGAGCAGAGACCCGTGGCCTCAGGCAGCACCAGTGAGTTGGGGGATGTGGGAGGCTCAGCCAGGGGCTGTGGGGGCAGTGGGAGCTCGTGGTGAGGGCTCAGCTCTGCACCCCCAGGTCCCTTCTGCCGGGAGCTGCTCCACAGCCTGGAGTCCAGCCCCCTCTCACAGATCTTCTGGCGGGGGATCAAGCCCCTCTTTGTGGGGAAGATCCTGTACACGCCACCTGGGCCCGGCCCCGACAGGGTCATGGCTGAGGTGAGTGGGGGCTGCGGGAGGCCTGGAAGGGTTTGGGGGGGGGGGGTCTCATCCCGGACCTGCCTCACCTCCCTCACGCAGGTGAATCGGACCTTCCGGGAGCTGGCAGTGCTGGGGGAGCTGGGGGGTGCCTGGCAGGAGCTGGGACCCCGAATCTACACCCTCCTCAACAGCAGCCTGGAGATGCAGGTGCTCCAGGTGTGTGACCCCCAGACTCCTCCCATTAGGAACAGGTTTGCTGTGGGGTGCAAGATGGGGTGTGCTGGGGTGCAGCTGCCAGGAGAGGGGTGCGATGCAGCTGGAGCAGGCTGGGCTGCATGGCCTCCCGGATCCTGGTGCTTTTCAGGACTTGCTGCTGGCCCCGAGTACAGCCCAGCTGCTGAATGGGTTTCTCAATGGCACTTCCTGGAAGCTACCAGAGTTGGTCACATTCCTGGTGGGGCCAGAGGGGGGACCAGACCTCACCTGGCGCCAGGTGTACGCTGATGTGGATGCAGTCTTGAGCACGCTGTCACAGTTCATGGAGGTGTGTGTCACCCCACTGTGGGCGAGCTGGCCCCTTGCACTATCCGTGCCCTCTGAGCCCTACCTGCCTCTCACAGTGTGTCTGCCTGGACAAGATCGAGGCAGTGGCCACCGAGGAGCAGCTGGTATCCAGGGCCCTGGAGCTGCTGGAGGAGCAGCAGTTTTGGGCAGCAGTGGTCTTCCAGCCCCCCATCAATGCCTCAGCCCCCGGACTTCCACCCCACGTCCGCTACAAGATCCGCATGGACATTGATGACGTCACGAGGACCAACAAGATCAAGGACAGGTTGGGGGATGCCCGCCCTGTCAGTCTCCGTGGCCAGCCAAGCAGTCTGTGCTCGTTGCCAGGGGATCCCTGGTTCCAGCACTGTGCTCTGCCCGCAGGTTTTGGGACCCAGGCCCTGCAGCTGATCCCTTCAGTGACTTGCGTTATGTCTGGGGGGGCTTCATCTACATTCAGGACCTGGTGGAGCAGGCGGTGGTGCGGGTGCAGACTGGCGCTGCCCCACGGACAGGGGTTTATGTCCAGCAAATGCCCTACCCCTGCTATGTGGATGATGTGTAAGTGGGCAGGGCCAGCCCTGGAGCCTGGGACTGTTGAGTGACCCCCCTGCTGCCATGGGGGACACATCCAAGCATCCTGCACCGAGGAGGTGGCACAGGGCCGGTCGTGCCCTGGTGTCCCTGGCCCAAGAGTGGCCCAGAAGTGTTGAGCTAAGGGAGGAATGTCTGGTGGTATCTCCCCAGGTTCTTGAGGGTCCTGAACCGCTCCCTGCCTCTCTTCATGACGCTGGCCTGGATCTACTCAGTGGCCATGATCATCAAGGGGGTGGTGCACGAGAAGGAGACACGTCTCAAGGAGACCATGAAGACCATGGGGCTGAGCAGTGGGATCCTCTGGCTCAGCTGGTTCCTCAGCAGCTTCATCCCCTTCCTCCTCAGCTCTGCTCTCCTTGTCCTCATCCTCAAGGCAGGTTGCAGGTCTCAAGGGACAGTGTGGGTGACGCAGGGCACATCAGGGCTGGGTGCCAGCATGGGGGGCTCCACAGGCTCCAACCCGCCTCCATCCACAGCTGGGAAACATCCTGCCCTACAGCGACCCAGCAGTCATCTTCCTCTTCCTTGGCACCTTCTCGGTGGCCACCATCAGCCAGTGCTTCCTCATCAGCACCTTCTTCCCCCGTGCCAACCTGGCCTCGGCGTGTGGTGGCATCATTTACTTCTCGCTGTACCTGCCCTATGTGCTGTGTGTCGCCTGGCGCGACTACATCACCTTCCCAATCCGTGTCCTTGTGGTGAGCGCCCAGAGCTGCCCCTCTGCAATGCCCCTGGTGCTCTGAGTGAGGGGCTTTGGGCTGCACCCCCTGGGCCAATCTTAGCCCACACTGCTGTTCTCACCGTTCTCAGAGCTTGCTGTCCCCCGTGGCCTTCGGCTTTGGCTGCGATTATTTCTCCCTCTACGAGGAGCAGGGAGTGGGCATCCAGTGGCACAACCTGGCTGCCAGCCCCGTGCCAGGAGACCCGTACAGCTTTGCTGTGGCCATGGCGCTGCTGCTGCTGGATGCTTTCCTCTATGGCCTGGCCACCTGGTACCTCGAGGGTGTCTTCCCAGGTGAGTGCAGCTCCCCTGACCCCCAGCTGCCACTCAGCCCCAGCCCCACTCAGCCTCTTCTGCTGCAGGTCAGTATGGGATCCCCAAGCCCTGGAATTTCCCCTTCTTAAAGAGCTACTGGTTTGGAGAGTCATCCTCATCTGGGATGTACCACACCAGTCCCCACACAGCACCCCAAGGTGAGTCCCTGCCCACCCTGGAGCTGTGTGGAGCCCTCCAGCCCAGGCCTTGCTCCCCAGTGGAAGGCCCTGCGCCCCATAGCGAGGGGTCCTGCCCCCAGCAAGGGGTCCTGGCTGGGAATGTGACCCCTTGGTGGCCTCCAGTGCTGGTGGAAGAGCCGCCTGTGGAACTCCAGCCCGGCGTCTCCATCCGCAACCTGGTGAAGGTCTATGGCAGCAATGGCCGTGCAGCTGTCAACGGGCTGAGCCTGGACTTCTACGAGGGGCAAATCACGTCCTTCCTGGGCCACAACGGCGCTGGAAAGACCACCACCATGTGAGCCACAGAGGGGCTGCATGGCCATGGCTGGGGACAGGAGCTGAGCCTGACCCTGTCCCCAAGCCCTGCTGCTCCTGTGCTCCATGTCCACTTTCCTCACCACTTCCAGGTCCATCCTGACTGGCCTCCTGCCCCCCACCTCGGGCACTGCCTATATCCTGGGCTGGGACATCCGCTCTGATATCGACAGCATCCGCAAATCCATGGGGATGTGTCCCCAGCACAACGTGCTCTTCGACATGTAGGCAGGGGTGGGGAGGTGTGGGGAGTGATGCAGAGCTGTCCCCCTCAATCCCTGTGTCCCTCACCCTGCCTTTCCCCCTGTCCCCACAGCCTGACAGTGGAGGAGCACGTCTGGTTCTACGGGAGGCTGAAGGGGCTCTCGGAGCAGCAGGTGCAGGAGGAGATGGAGCAGCTGCTCCAGGACACGGGGCTGCCCCACAAGCGCCGGGAGCAAACCAGGAACCTCTCGGGTGCGTGTGGGGGTCAGGCTGGGTGCCTGAGTGGAGCTCGGTGGCTCTGAGCCCTCCCCAACGCTGTCCCTCTGCAGGTGGGATGCAGCGGAAGCTCTCGGTGGCCATTGCCTTCGTGGGTGGCTCCCGAGTGGTCATCCTGGACGAGCCCACGGCCGGTGTCGACCCCTTCTCCCGCCGCAGCATCTGGGAGCTGCTGCTCAAGTACCGCAAAGGTCAGGGCTGGGGGTCCCCCACTTCACCCTCTGAGCCCCCCAGCCTGGGGCGAGCAGGGGGATGTGCTGATGGGGGTCTGGCAAGGGGATCTGGGATCAAGATCGTTCCTGGTCCCCAGGCCGCACCATCATCCTGTCCACCCACTACATGGACGAGGCAGAGCTGTTGGGGGACCGCACTGCCATCATCTCACAGGGTCGGCTCTGCTGCTGCGGGTCCCCCCTCTTCCTCAAGGCCAGGCTTGGCACCGGGTACCACCTCACCCTGGTGAAGCGGGAGAGGAGCGGGACAGGCGGCAACACTGGCACTGTCCCCGGTGTCACCAAAAAGGTGGGTCCCTGATGCTCATCCCCCCAAAGAGAATCCAGTGTCTCTATCCTGGGTATTGGGGAGCACTGGGGGCCAGGTCCTGCAGTGGGGTGCCAGGCTCCAGCCACCCTTTCCTGCAGGATGGCAGTGACTCAGAGCACAGCAGTGACACAGGCCTGGGCAGCGAGCGGGGCAGTGATGCCAGCAGCGTGGGTGAGCCTTTTGTCCCCTCACAGTGCCACCCCCAGCTGCTCCCCATACACCCCCCATCAGCCAGGGAGGCTGGGGGTGCCCAGCCCTGCACCTGGCCCCTCTCCTCCTTTCACTGGAGGTACAGAAGGGGATCTCCATCCCCTCCATCTCCCCTGGGGGCCCTCAGGCTGGGATACTGGGCACATGGAGCTGTGGCCAGCTGCACCAGCCAGTGGCTCCTGCCCAGGGTTTCCAGCCCTCCCCATCCTTCCAGATGTGGCCCAGCTGTCAGCACTGATCCAGAAGCTGGTCCCTGGCTCCCGGCTGGTGGAGGACATTGGGCACGAGGTGCTCTTCGTCCTGCCCTACAGCGGGGCCAAGGACGGGGCCTTTGGGGAGCTGTTCCGTGAGCTGGATGCACACCTGGGGGAACTGGGGGTCTCCAGCTATGGCATCTCTGACACCACCCTGGAAGAGGTACCCCGGGGGGCTGTGGTTAAGGGGTTCCTGGGGAAGCCAGGGGGTTTCCCTCACTGGGCTGTGGGTGCTGGTGTGTGTTTAACACCAGCCCTCCCATACCCCCAGATCTTCCTGAAGGTGGCCGAGGACACAGTGCTGGGCACTGACACCACAGGTAAAACCCCTCAGTCCTGGCTGGAGCTGAGCTCTGGGGTACAGTGGGGCTGGGGAGGTGCTCAGCAGCCCAGAGCAGAGGGGTATAGGGTGTCACCAGCACCCTGCCAGCACTGGGGGCCCTGCTGGGAGCGCCTGTGGATGCAGAGAGCTGTCACAGCCTGTGGCCTTGGTCCTGCCCTGACACCTTGTTCTCATTTTGTCAGGCACCATGAAAGGAGCAGTCCCTGGCGAGATGGGTGATGGGGATGTGGCCGATGGAGAGATGGGTAAGGATGGGGGAGGTGGAACCCCTGAGTGCTCCCCACCTCCAGCCCCTGGGCTGGGGCAATGACACATGTCCATCCGGCCAGCTGTCCATCCAAGCAGGCATTCTTTCAGACACATGTCCCTTCAAGCAGGGGGATACTGAGGGACCCTCGTGCAGCATAGCTACCTCCCAGTTTTGGGATGTCCCCAGAGTAAAGATCTGGGATGAGGATGGGTTTGGGGAGCTCAGCTCTGTGCAGGAGTTGGGATGGGGTATGAAATCCCAGAGGGCATATCCAGCCTCCTTATCCTGGAGGGAGAACTAGTGTGGGGACAGCTGCGGGAGTCTAGGGGGGGTGTGTGATGGTTTGGGGCACCAGCTGTGCCCTGGGTGGGTGCTGACCCCCGCGTGGCTGTAACCCCTCTCTCCTCTCCTTTACATTGAGCCAAAGGAGCCCGGCGAGGTAGGAGCTGGGGGCTGTTTGGGGGCGGCTGGGGGCTCCTGCATGCAGCATCCCATCCTTGCTGGAGCAGGGGGATCCCTCATTCCCCCGTATCCCTCCTGGCACCTACACCTTGCCAAACCCGTCTCTGTCCCGGCAGCGGAGGAGCCTCGGGAGACAGATCTGCTGCGGGGGGCTGCGGGACAGGCCTGCGGCAGGGTGCGGGGCTGGGCACTCACCTGCCGCCAGCTCCGCGCTCTCTTCACCAAGAGGATGCTCCACGCTCGGCGCAGCACCCGCGGCTTCTTGGCGCAGGTGGGGCCGTGGGGAGGAGATGGGGCAGGGTACGGGGCAGAGCCAACCCTGATCCCCCCCGGCCTCCTCAGATCGTCCTCCCCGCCGTGTTCGTCTGCATTGCGCTGCTCTTCAGCCTCATCGTGCCGCCCTTTGGGAAGTACCCGCCCCTGCAGCTCCAGCCCTGGATGTACGGGAAGCAGTTCACCTTTTTCAGGTGTGTCTCCAGCCCTCTGCCCGCCGTGTCCCTCGTCCCCCACTGCCACCAGCTCACTCCTGTGTCTCCCGGCAGCAATGACGCCCCGGGAGACCCCGACACAGCCCGGCTGCTGGACGCGCTCCTGGCTGAGCCCGGCTTCGGCACCAAGTGCATGAAGGAAGAGGGGAAGGCGTGAGTGTCCGTGGGACGAGAGCTGGAGCAGCTCTGCCACCTGGTGTGATGCAGTGGCACCCCCAACATCCCCATGGTGGGTCCCGGTGCCCCTGGCTCACACCAGGCTGGTAATGCGACTCTCTGTCTCTCTCCCCGGGTTCCCAGGACAGGGCTGTGCCCACCAGCTTCCCACCCCGACGGCTTCTCAGCCCCCTCTTCCCCCCCATCCCTGCTGGAAGTGCTGCGGCGTGGGAACTGGACACGGGCTGAGCCATCCCCCCCGTGTCAGTGCAGTGGGCCAGGGGCACACAGGATGCTGCCAGAGTGTCCTGAGGGGGCCGGGGGGCTCCCACCACCCCAGGTAACCCCTAGCCTAGCAGGGGCAGCCCCAGGGCTCCATCACTGCTGGCTGTGGGGGCAGGTGATGCTCCGGGGATGTCACAGGGCTGGGTGTCCATCCAGCCCATCTGTCCATCCCACAGGTGCAGAGAGGCACAGGGGACATCCTTCAGAACCTGACAGGCAGGAACATCTCTGACTACCTGGTGAAGACCTATCCCCAGATCATCCGTCAGGAGTGAGTACTGGGGCTGGAAACACCGGGGACACTGCAGGGGCACTGTGGGGACACCAAGGGAACACCCCAGGGACACATGGGGGAAGGGGACTCTGCTGGGGACATGTTGCTGGGTGGGCAGGTGCTGCCCTAATGTCCCCTCGGGGGGTTTCCTCTCTCCTCTGTCTCCCCCTACCTCATTTCTTTTAGGCTGAGGAACAAGAAGTGGGTGAATGAGCAAAGGTGAGTTGGGCAGGGGCTGGGGCCTGGCACAGCCAGGGATGGAGGGAGTCAGAAAATCTTTGGTGGGCTTGGGGATAGCCTGAGTGGTCCCTGGGCAGAGCAATCATCCAGGTGCCTTCAGCCTTCCACTGTGTGTCCCTTACTGTGGCATCTGAGCGAGTGGAGGGTTGAGTTTGCACAAGAATGGCAGTGGGGAATGGGTGGCAGCTCTCATAGGATTGTGGAATTGTACAATCTCCTGGGGTGGAAGGGATCTAGGAGGATCCTCAAGCCCAGTTCCTGGCATGCTGGCAGTGGGAGTCTCCCCAGCAAGTTTGGGAGCCGCATTTCTCCTGCAGGTACGGTGGCTTCTCCCTGGGCGCTGGCAGCTCCCAGGCTCTGCCGTCGGCAGCAGAGGTGGATCAGGCAGTGCTGGAGCTCCGGGTGCTGCTCAACATCACCCCGGTACAGCTGGACACAGCCCCTGGCTCAGCTCTGGTGTCCCAGTGCTGGGAGACCCCTCCTCACCCTGTGTTCCTGCACCCAGGGCAGCCCCTCGGATCGGCTCCTGGCCAACCTCAGCCGCTTCATTGAAGGTTTGGATGCCCGCAGGAATATCAAGGTGTGCCCAGATCTGGGGGTCTCTCAGGGGCGAGAGCTGGGGGACAGCAGGGATGTGACGGTGGTGTCCCCTCAAGGGGTGGAGCAGCCCAAGGAGGACTGAGAGTGGCTGGGGCTGGAGGGGAGCAGGAGGCGGCTGGGGAGTGGGGGATGCTGCTGGTGGGAGAGGGGCTGCAGACACAGCCAGGGGCAGTTCCAGGTTGGGCTGGGGGCTCTGAGCTGCCTGGCCCTCTCCATGCTGCAGGTGTGGTTCAACAACAAGGGCTGGCATGCCATGGTCTCCTTCCTCAATGTGGCCAGCAATGGGCTGCTGCGAGCCCGGCTGCCCCCCGGCACCGACCCTGCACGCTTTGGCATCACGGCCACCAACCACCCCCTGAACCTCACCAAGGAGCAGCTCTCTGAGGCCGCCCTGTGAGTGCTGGGCATGGGGGTCCCGCAGCCCCCTCGGGCCCCTGCTGAGCTCTCCCCTCCTCGGCAGGATGGCCACCTCTGTGGACGTGCTGGTCTCCATCTGCGTGATCTTCGCCATGTCCTTCGTCCCAGCCAGCTTTGTTGTCTTCCTCATTGAGGAGCGAGTCAGCAAGGCCAAGCACCTTCAGTTTGTCAGCGGGATGAAGCCCATCACCTACTGGCTGGGCAACTTTGCCTGGGACATGGTGGGAATGGGGATGGGGACAGTGGCCAATCTCAAGGGGTCTGTCCCACCCCTGGCCCCTTTCCTGACTTTTCCATCCCCACAGTGCAACTACCTGGTCCCTGCGCTGCTGGTCATCTTCATCTTCCTCTGCTTCCAGCAGGAATCCTACGTGTCCTCGGCCAACCTGCCCTCCCTGGTGCTGCTGCTGCTGCTCTACGGGTGACGGGGCAGCAGAGCCCAGCAGGGGCGAGGGGGTTGGGGGGCTGGGGGCAGCTGGGGTGAGGGGGTTGTGGTTCTTGGAAGGGTGAGTGCTGTCTCAAGCCCCCCAGGTCAGGACGTGCACCTCAGCCAGCCCCTGTCTCTCCCCCTGCAGATGGTCCATCACCCCTCTGATGTACCCAGCCTCCTTCCTCTTCAGCATCCCCAGCACGGCCTATGTGGCCCTGACCTGCATCAACCTCTTCATCGGCATCAACGGCAGTGTTGCCACCTTTGTGCTGGAGCTCTTTGTGGACCAGGTGAGCCTTGAGATGCCCTGGACCCCCCTGTCCCTTCCCTACAGGGCCAGTGCCAGCTCCCCCACCCTTGTCCTTGCTGCCCCATCAGAACCTCAATGACATCAACCGTGTCCTGAAGAAGGTTTTCCTCATCTTCCCCCACTTCTGCTTGGGCCGAGGCCTCATTGACATGGTGAAGAACCAGGCAATGGCTGATGCCTTTGAGAGGTTTGGTGAGTGTCAGGGCTCCTCACCCTCCCCACAGCCCGGCACAGGGGTCCCTTATTCCTACAGCCTCTCTCGCTGCTTGCAGGGGACAAGCGCTTTGTGTCCCCCCTCTCCTGGGACCTGGCAGGGAAGAACATGTTTGCCATGGCCATCGAGGGCATCATCTTCTTCCTCTTCACCCTCCTGCTGCAGTACCACCGCTTCTTCCTGCGCCTGGGGTGAGTACTGGCCAAGGGTACAGAATCACAGAATCACCAGTTTGGAAGAGACCTTTAAGATCACTGAGTCCTCAGCTAACACCTCAGCTAAACCATAGCACCGAGTGCCACATCCAGGGAAGGTGCCTCCACCACCTCTCCAGGCGGATGATTCCAGTACTTTATTACTGTTCCAGTAAAAAACTTTTTCCTAATATCCAACCTAAATTTCCCTTGGTGCAGCTTAATACTGTGTCTTCTCATTCTGTCAGTTGTTGCCTGGAAAAAGAGACCAACCCCCATCTGACTAGACTGAACTGAACTAGAATCACATTTCAGGGAGTTGTAGAGAGTGATAAGGTCACCTCTGAGTCTCCTTTTCTCCAGACTAAACAACCCCAGCTCCCCCAGTCGTTCCTCGAAGGGCTTGTGTTTCAAGCCCTTTAGCAGCCTCGATGTCTCCTCTGAACGTGCTCAAGCATCTCAACATCTTTCCTAAACTGAGGGACCCAGAACTGGACACAGTACCCTGGGGGTGCTCAAGAGGATGGACAGCCCTGGATGTGCCCTTGCCACTGTTTCCACAGGCCACGGGCTCTGGAGCTGCCCTCGCTGGGGGATGAGGACCGGGATGTGGCCAGGGAGCGGGCGAGGGTGGGCAGCATCACCCCACATGGCCACCTCCTGCTGCTGAAGGACCTGACCAAGGTGGGTGTGTGGGGCTGGACGCTGCTGTGAGCTCCAGCCCAGCCAGAACCCCTGGCCCCACTGGCAGTGACAGGAGGGAGCACCCAGTGCCACCTCTCCTCCATGCAGGTGTACCGGCGCAGGAAGGCTCCGGCTGTGGACCGGCTCTGCGTGGCCATCCCCCCCGGGGAGGTGAGGGACAGATGGACAGACAGACAGCTCTGTGGGTAGGACCAGGGCTGCCAGTGACCCTGCTCTGCTCCCACAGTGCTTTGGCCTCCTGGGGGTGAACGGTGCTGGGAAAACATCCACCTTCAAGATGCTGACAGGGGACACAGAGGTGACGCTGGGAGAGGCCTGGTTGAAGGGGCACAGGTGGGTGAATGCAGGGACCCCTTGGCTCAGATCCCTCGCCATGTTCACACATCACCTAGGCCATCATCTCTGTCCCCACCCTGTGCTCTTTCTGGCCCTTTTCCCTGCAGCTTCTTGTCCCTATTCCCACAGTATCCCTGGCATACGTTCCCAACTCACAGCATGCTCACCTCTCCCTGCCCCATGCTCACCTGTCCCCATCCTGCAGCGTGCTCACCGACCTCCAGTCTGTCCATCAGCACATGGGTTACTGTCCCCAGTTTGATGCCATCACAGACCTGCTGACGGGGCGGGAGCACCTGGAGTTCTACAGCCGCCTGCGTGGGATCCCAGAGGAGGAGACCCCCAGGGTAGGGCCTGTACCCTGTCCTCCCCACCTCATGGGGAGCCCCCACACTCACCCCCTGTGTCTCTCACAGGTGGCTCAGTGGGGCATCACTGCTCTGGGGCTGGGCCCACATGCAGACCGGCCGGCGGGCAAGTACAGCGGGGGCAACAAACGCAAGCTCTCCACGGCCATCGCCCTCCTCGGCTGCCCCCCTGTCGTCTTCCTGGTGAGGGGAGCATTGAGAAGCCCCATGGCAGCACCAGGGTCCTGCACAGGCTGACCCTGGGCCGGGACCATTGCAGGATGAGCCCACAACGGGGATGGATCCACAAGCCCGGAGGTTCCTGTGGGAGCGCATCCTTGGCGTTATCCGGGACGGGCGCTCCGTGGTGCTCACGTCCCACAGGTGAGTCCCCACAAAGGGGAGCACCTCTCTGCCCCCATAACCCCCCTACAGGGGAGCACCTCCCTGCCTATGGGAGCCCCCAGAGGGGAGTGTCCCCCTGCCCTGGGGGGCTCACACGTGCCCCCCCAGCATGGAGGAGTGTGAGGCGCTCTGCACCAGGATGGCCATCATGGTCAATGGGCGGTTCCGCTGCCTGGGCAGCGTCCAACACCTCAAGAACAGGTACTGGGTAGCGGGGCTAAGGGGGTCTCCTGAGGGTGGTGGCCGTGGCCAGTCCTCACAGCAGTGTCCCCTCTCCCTGCAGGTTTGGGGATGGGTACACGGTGGTGGTGCGGGTGGGGGGTCCTGGCCCAGCGGCGGTGCAGACCCTGCTGCAGCAGCACTTCCCCGGCATTGTGCTGCGGGAGCAGCACGGGGGGCTGCTGCAGTACCACCTGCCTGCCCGTGTCACCTCCCTGGCTACCGTCTTCAGCCTTCTGGCCACCCACCGTGGCCCCTGCCACATAGAGGACTACTCCGTGTCCCAGACCACACTGGACCAGGTGACAGGGGAGGCAGGTGTGAGGGCAGGGTAGCCCTGTCCCATGGTGCTGTCTCTCACTATGCCGTTCCTGCAGGTCTTCATGCACTTTGCCCAGGACCAGAGCGATGGGGACACCGTGGAGGTCACAGCCCCAGGGCAGGATGCAGCCCCCAGCCCCGGGAGGAGGCTGAGCACGTTCCTGGAGGACGACAGCTACCAGGAGAGCGCTGTCTGAGTGCGCCATGGTGTCCCATGGAGCCCCACAGACCCCTCCCCGGTTGTCACCACAGCACGAGCCAGGGTCACAGGGCTTTGGGGTGCTGTAGACCCCTAGAGTTGCACAGAAGAGATTTGGGCCCATCCTGCCCACTGGCATGGTGTCACCGTCCCACGGGGCAGCGGGTGCTGGGGAGGGTCAGAGTGCCAGGACAGGGCTGGCCCTGGCTCCATGCTGTGGGGTTGATGCCCTGTTGGGGGCTGAGCTGGATGGGGGGTCTGGGGCTGGCCTTGGGACCCCGCTACTCCCCAGCGGAGCCGAGCTTGCTGTAACAGAGCAATTCAATAAAAACCCGCGGTACTGCCGGGGGGCTCGATTGCCCTCGCCACAACACGACTGCAGTGAGGGACAGGGCGGGAGCACAGCGGGACAGGGGCAGCAGAGTGGCCCTGACACAGGCGAACATCACAGAGCCGCGCCTGGGGCTCCCCGGACCTGGCGGGGGCTGGAACGCCCCGTGCTGCGTCTCGGGGCGACAAAAGGATCCTCACGGCGACGAGGTTTGAGACCGCGCCGGGAAAAAAATATGGAACGCTTCACGAATTTGCGTGTCATCCTTGCGCAGGGGCCATGCTAATCTTCTCTGTATCGTTCCAATTTTAGTATATGTGCTGCCGAAGCGAGCACGAATTTGCCTCTACCCGCAACAATATTTAAACCCCCTTCACTTCATAACCTTTACCTCAGTGCCAGTAAAGTGTTTTGGGTTCTCACGCCCTTCTTCACATGACCACTCTCCTTGCTGATGCATGCTAATTTTTCATTCTAAGTCTTAAATTTTGTCGCAATTTTTCCCTTTTCGTGGCCGAACGGCCACCCGACATTGCCGGCTGCGCGCGAGACATTGCGGGAAATTTTTTTTATTTGCATGGAGGCGGGACGGGGCCGGAGCGTGTCCTCCACCGTCCCGTCGTGCCCCGAGCGCGCGTGCGCGCGCACGCGCGTGAGCCGCTGTCGCCGGCTGAGGAAAATGGCGGCGGAACGCTGAGGGACGGGACAGGACCGTACCGGGACAGCTGAGCCGCTCACCGCGCCCGGGCCGCCCCGCCTTGCCAAGGGACCCCCATGGCCACGGGGATATCCTGGCAGCCGCGTCCCTGATGCGTGTGCTCCGGCCGCGTAGCTGCCGGGCCCCGCTGTGCGCCCAGGCCTGACCCGTTGGGCCTGACCCGCCACCGCCCCGAGGCGTCTGCGCCGGGTAGGGGCCGGGGAGGGGGACGGAGGCAGCGCCGGCCCCGCGCCCGCGGTCTCTCCGCAGCGCCCGCCCGGCCCCAGCCCGGCCCGCGGAAGAGCAGCAGCCTTTTCGGGCCCAGCCCTCACCAGCCCCGCCGTCAGGATGTCCGAGAACCAGCCGAACGCCAACAACCATCACCCGGCCAACAACGCCGGGGCCGCCGGCGGCAACAACCGGGGCGTCCGCAACCCCAACCTCAACCAGAACCCCCTGATCAACGTGCGCGACCGCCTCTTTCACGCGCTGTTCTTCAAGATGGCAGTGACCTACGCGCGCCTCTTCCCTCCCTCCTTCCGCCGCATCTTCGAGTTCTTCGTTCTTCTCAAGGTGAGAGGCAGCTCTTCCTGTCAGCCCCCGGCCGGGCTGAGGGCAGGAATTTCATTAGAAACACAAAAAATCGTGCCTCCGCCGGAGGTAGCAGGCTGTGTTTGGACCACGCACACCGAGCTGTGCCCGGAGCTCTCCTGTGCGGGAGACCATGGTGGTCCCGGTGTTCTCTGCACTTTGGAGCTCTTCCAGATCTATAAATCGAAAATAAATTGCTGAGACAGCTTTCTGGGTAGCCAGGCTGGCGCGAGGTAGAAGTTTCAGTTTCTGTTTCCTAGCAATCACACTTTTTGGATACATTTCCCACATGACCTACTGGGTTGTTGGAGTTTTCCTGGAGTTTTGTCTTTTCTGGAAGCAGTTAAGGCACGGCCCCATTCTAACCCCGCTTCTTTCAGCAGTGCCAGGAATGTGTCACTGTGCTCTGCGGCGACCCCACCTCCCTGCTGGGTGATGGGGACCCTCCCAGAGGGGCCTGTCAGTGTCCAGGGCTGACTGCGCTTAGGTAAAATCCAGGATGGGAAATTAAAGAGAAGGGGAGAGCAGCTTGCCAGGCAACAGCAGCGCACTTCTCTAGGTTTCTACAGTTCAGCAAGAAAACATTCAGTACAGCTTGTCTCATGCTGCACAGATACGTTTTCTACCCTCAGGAGACATTTGGATTTTTCACATCCCTGTTCCCTCTCCCAGTTGTACACTTGCATCCCAGCGAACCGGCTAGGACAGGGATAGTGCTAACTGTTCAGTGGTCGGGCAGAGTGGCTGGGAGCAGTTTGTGTTGCTTCTGCCTCTGATCACAGCTCCTCCCAGAGAAGGAAAACTTCCTCAGGGCTCTGTGGAGAGCAGCCTGCAGGGTCAGGGGTCAGCAGCCTGCTCCCAGCTCTCCTCCAGCTGCTGGCAGGAGGGAAGTGGGAGCCCACATTCTCATTCTGAGCCCTGAAATTGCCCGTAGCTCTTCTATGGCTCCTGCAACCAGGGAGGTGGCTCTGCTTCACCTTCCCTCACATCTCCCTGTGCAGCTGCTCTGCAGAATAATGTTTACCAGCTGTTTGTTCGTCACAAATAGGTCAGGGCGGCGGGGCTGATGAGGACAGAGCAGCGCAGGGTGGCTGGAAAGGGAGATCTGAGCTCAGCAGTGCCACTCTCTGTGCCAGCTGTGCTCAGAGCTCTGAACTTTGAACGTCTCTCTTCACTCCAGGGAACAAGATTTTTTTAGTCCACCCTGCTTTGCTGTGGTTTATGGCTGTTCCTGGGATGAAGGCGGGGCAGGGAACTATGGTGCTCAGGGGCCATTTCAATCTCCCCCGAGGCAGGACCTGTTCTTTGGGACAACGGATCTGACATGGATTTGGATCATCATTCCCAGGGGTGGGTTAGCTTTGCTTAGAGTTTTCTTTATTCTGCCTTTACAAAGCTGGCTTCTCTGGGTTTCAGCAGGAAACTCTTTGTGCTGAGGAGGGAAGGGGTGGAAGGCACTGACATGTTTCCAGGTCCTTCAGTGTGCCTCGTGGCCTCATCCTGCACTGGTGCTGTGTGTGGTCGGTTTTGGGGACACTGTTGGATGCAGGACCCGTTCTTTCAGAAGGCTGTCACTGTCAGCTCTCATGAGCAGGAGCAATTCGTTCCTGATGGATTTGGTGCGTTCCCTGCTGGAACTGCCAAGGTCTGGCTGCTGCGAAGCATCAAAGCTCTTGTCCACTTGCCAGTCCACTCGCCCAGATTATTCTGGTGTTTCACAGGCAGAGAAGAGCTGGTCTGACAGTGTCTGCCTTGTCTCCTGCCCTTTAGGCTCTCTTTGTGCTCTTCATCCTGGCCTACATCCACATTGCCTTCTCCCGCTCTCCCATCAACTGCCTGGAGCACGTGCGGGATAAGTGGCCCCGCGATGGCATCTTGAGGGTGGAAATCCAGCGGAACTCCAGCCGGGTCCCCATCTTCCTGCAGTTCTGCGGGGTCGAGAAGTTCCCAGGAATGGTGGTTGAGTCCACGACTGAGGAAGAGGAGGAGGAAGAGGAAGAAATGACTGTGGATATGTTTGAAAACAGCTCCATCAAGGTAAGGGTGTAGGCTGGAGAGGGGAGCTTGGGTGATGGGCTGGGAAGAAGTCTTGGTTGTAAGTGGAGTCCCTGTGTGATCCCTCTGTCTCCTGGAAACAAAGCCTGTTCCTTGGCTGCTCCTGAGTCCCTGTATTGGCCTCTGATGGTTTAACACAGAGAGGAAAGCCAGAAAAAAATGTCCTTTTGCGGGGAGGAGGCCTTTGTGTGGATAGAGAGAGCATGGCAGGTGAGAGGTGAAGAGGCTGCTGATGTGGCTTTCCCTGCTCTGGTTTTCCAACAGTTTGAGCTGGATATCGAGCCCAAGGTGTTCCTCAAGCCATCCCGGGTGAGCAGCACTGAGCTGCCCCACAACGACAGCCAGGAGTTCTCATTTAGTGACGCAGCCACTAAAGGTATGCAGCCTCTGCGGGAGACTGTGTCCGAGTTTGAGATGCTAGCCCGAGCAGGTAATCACACCTTCACTGCTACCTGTGCTCCTCCTTCTTCCCGTCATCATCCTCCCCACACGTCCCGTCCTGGCTCCTTGGGGCACCTGCACGATGACCTTCAATGTCTTCCCGATGTGTTTACCTGGAGATAATCCTGTCAGTACTAACAGCAGACCCACAGCAAGCTCTGCCCTGAGGCTGGGGGCAGTCTGAGGGTTAGGGGGAGGCTGGGTTTGAAAACTTACCAGGCCAGGAGGCTTCAGATCAACCACAGGTGAAGGAAGGCTCTTGGCCTGGCAGGTTTCTGTGGGGATCAGTGTCAGGTATCTCAGATGAGCCTTAACCCCCAATCCATTCAGCAGCCTCTGCAATGCACAGAGATGTCCTGACAGCAACATTCCTTCTAGCATGAACAGGGTTTGGGCCGTGTTCTGGGTGCTGAGCCAACACCAGAAGCTGGAGCAGCCAATTTGCTACAATTAATTAATCCCAAAAGCCACCCAGCGGGTTTTGGTGGATTGCGATACAGCACTGCTGTTCCACTCGGATGTTCCCTGGCCTTATCCCACCCTTTTCCTCCCTGACCTAAGCTGCTCAGGCCTTATAAACTCCAGAGGGAGATTTAGTAGCTTTGTATTATTTAAAATGGAATTGCAGTGTGGAAAAACTTCTGTTTCTAGTGGTTAAGGTAGGAAATCTACTAAGGAATATTTATCTTAAAATAGAGATGTCGACTTGGATTCTATTTTCCACAAAATTTGCAAGAAGTTGGCCTCTTTCACTACACTGTTGTCTCTGTGAAGACTGGAACTCTTTCCTCTGCAGACGCACTGGGGTTGTGGCTGTGGAGTGGGATGAGACTGGACACTGTCCTGTTCCTTGGTCTTGCAGTGGATTTGCTTGATGCTCATC